TGCAACAATTCTGGCTTGATTGTCATTGGCATAGGAGGTTTTCCATTTATTTATTAGAACTCAGCCTGGGAGGAAAAGAAACAAAATGGTTTTATGTGATCCTGCATTGCTAAAATTCGCACACTGCTGCTATCTTTTCTTTACTGCTTCTTCTGAGAGTTATCATTTCAATGCAGTAATCTTTTCAGCAGCCATTCCGTGGGAATTGGGCTAGAACCTCACTAAGGGGTCACATCCACCAGCCTAACAGTTATACGTTTACAAAAGAAATAGCATGAATTTATTCAGCATCAAAACCTCTACATCTTTTACCACCCAACTGCATTTCACACTGTCTTACCATCGGTGCACTATAATGGCTATATAAATTCCATCCAGAGTCTTCATTTAATTAACTAGCATTCTTTGAACAAAAATAAAAGTGCTGTTTTCATAGGGGAATAAAAGCTGCATGAAGTGAGTGTGAAAGAGACAAATCATCAAATTAGTTATTCTTCATTGCAGCTATGGAGAATTCTCTGCCCCTCCTCTCTCGCTTCAGAGGCAATGTATTTTTTTTTCTAGTTTGACTGAATGGAAACTGGGGAATGATGTAGCCGCCTCCAGTGTGTTTGAATACATTGTAATGGCCACATCCTAAGCTCATGCTGGGCTGATCACGAATGCAAAAAAAAAAAAAAAAAATTACGAGTGACTTTTTGTTATGGCCTAGTAGCCAAGCTCGTGCCCTTTGAAACTAGAATGTCAGGGTTCGAATCCTCAGTAGGCTCCCTGCTAGAGGCTAGGGTTGTGATCTTGAGCAAGCTCATTTTGTTGTGCTTCAGTTTCCTATCTATAGAAGGAGGGTAGTAATAGGGCAGACCTGCACAGTAGCATGCAGGTTAGCTGAGCTGATGGTGTAAACCACTTACAACAGTGCCAGCATGGAGAAGCCATCATCTCCTGCATGCAGAGAAACAGTCTGAGGTGACCGTGACCAGGTTGTGACCCTGGGGACTGACAATCACCTGGCTGAATGGACCAGAGTTTACTTTCCTCAGATAATTCGTTCTAAAACTGGCCTTTTATTGTAAGACAGTTACACTGAAATGATATTCTTTGCTTCAAGGGTTTAGTAGGCAGTTAGTTACCCTTATCTCTCCATCTTGCACCCCACTGCCAGATTTAGCTTTCTAAACTGTGTTCCCCTATCATTTTCTTCTCAAAAGGTTTCAAGACTTCCTCAGGTATGAGTTGCTGTCTTCCATGTTATTTCTCTCCTTCTGACCCCCTCCCTCTCTCTGACCTTTTGTGTTCCATCCGTCTTCTTCAGGAACCCTTTCAGGAGTCCTGGTGGTGCCCACGTGGGTTAAGGGCTGGGTTGTGAACCCATCCCTGTGCAGAAGACAGATGAGGCTGTCTGCCCCTGTAAAGATCTAGTCCGGGAAGCTCTAAAGAGCAGGGATGCTGTGTTCTGGAGGGCCATTATGGGTTGAAATTGATTCATTGGCAGCAGGTGGGATTTAGGAACACACTCCTCCATTTTAACTGGTCTTGTTTCATATCTCAAATGTGTCTCACTTCTTGCCTCTCTTCCTTTGGTCATATTGTTCTTTATGTCTGACATACCCTCCTCTCTGCCACTTATTAAAACCACAACATTCGAAGTTGAGTCCAAAAACAGAGGTATCTTTTATCCACTTTGTATTCTTGTCACACACATATCATAGTTCTCTGGACACCGCAGCTACTAAGTTAATGTTGCTAATGATGAGAAATTATCCAGATAGCTCATTTTCAAACTATATTTAGAGTCCAAACACTTCACACCACCTCCAGCACTATCACCTTGTACAAGTTATAGCTACCTTTTCCTGTTTCTCTCCTTCCTCTCCCTGATTCTGCCTTGCACACCATTTAATACAGCAGCCAAAGTAATTCTCTTAAAATTTAAGCCAGACCTGGTTGGCCAGCAGTATGGCCAACTGGGGACTCTTGGGCCCAGAGTCAGTGACATAGCCACAGAGGACTAGAGTGGAGAGTGAAGAGTCCAGCTGATAAGAAGAGAGGGCATATGCACAAGAACACCCATACTTGCAGATAATACCCACTTGACCAGACTTCAATGACTGGATGATCAGAGCTCAAACAGAAGAAGAAAGATAAGGGAAAAGAGAGTAATCTGATACAATTTGATGAGCTTGACCTATACCTATGGATGCAGTAGCTCAAAAGAGGGAACAAATCCTTACAGCAAGGATCATTCCCACCCCCTCCATACACAGAGTAGACAGGGATGGGCAACTTGGACATTGGCTACCCAAAATGTGCGGGGGGTGGGGGGGCTTCAAAGACAAGAAGTGACTGTCTTACAAGCTTTCAAGAGGAAGACTAGATTCAGAGGGCGTGAAGGAGGGTAGAATCTCCACTGAGTAGTATACAATCTGTCTAGGTGAGGCTGATGAAATGAAATGTGCATTCATCTCTTGTGATGTAATAGTGAATAATTGTTATCAGGACTGCTTGTGAGGGTTGGAAATGTAAAGGTAGATGTTTTGTTGCAAGGAGGGGAGCGATTAACTTTTCAGCCTGGGAGCGGAAGTCCCTGAGACCATCAAGGGAGAAGAGCGGAGAGCGGGACCCTACCCAGAGAAGCAGTGATGTCTAAGATGGGGGCAGAGACGATGACATGGAGAGATGGAACTGCTGGAGACTTTAGATCCAGAGAGGGAGAGGGGCTGTGTGCTGATTATTGGGAGGCAGGCTTGTAGTGTATACCCTTTGGTTGATTGATGATGCATGGAGGGGATTGTAACCATAACAATGAAACGATATATGATAGGTTGAATGTAAAACTAATGTTCTCCCATGTAAACTATCATATATTTCACAATAAAACATTAAAAAAAAAAAGAAAAGAAATAAAAACTTCTCCCGATAAAAAATAAATAAATAAAAATAATCTAAGTCAGATCATATCACTTCTCTGCTCAGAACCCTCTGATGACTTCCCATCCCGTCCGGAATAAAAGCCAAAGTCCTAATGATGGCCTAGAAAGTTCCTTGAGATCTGCATTCCACCCTTGCTTCACCCTTTCCTGTTACCACTCAGACCTCATGTGCTACTGTTCTCAACATGTGCTGAACAGGTCTTCTTACAGTTCCTAAGGATGCAAGGCACGTTCTCAGAAAGCATCTCCTGGGACTCTTCAAGCCTCCATCCCCCTTACCCCATGTCTGATCAGATAGCACTGCAGTGAGGTCATCCCTGACTTACAGTCTAATTTACTGTTTCCCCCAACTAGTATAGAAGTTCTGAGGTGGAGAGAGGCATTTTTTCTATTCTGCTCAATTCTGTATCCCCAGTACCTGTAACAGAAACTCACACATAAGCACTCAAGAAATATTTAATGTGTGAGTGAAAAAATTGACCCTTAAGAATATGTCTTGAGCTTGTTGAACTTCATATGTAGTTAGGCTTAAACCAAGAGTAAGTGTCCTATCACAGCGCCAAGAAAATTTAAATAACCAGAGTTGAATATTAGCCATGGCCATTGGAGCAGAGAGTTCTATTTCAGACAAGAGTTAATCTTCATTCTGCATCAAGTAAAGGAAACAGAGATGGTTTACAGTATAATACCTGCTGTGTTAGCTTGTGTCAGTGTCTTGGGGGACTTCTTTGGCACAGTACCAAAGTACCAAGTAAATTTTAAGAGAGTAAGTAGTTTTGATTACCCTGCCCTCTTCCTAAGGAGCTCTGGTGTTGCAGTGGTTGAAGCTCTTGATTGCTAACCAGATGATTAGTGGTTCAAACTCACCAGCTAGTCCTCAGGAGAAAGATGTTACAGGCTGATCCTATAAAGTGTAATTGCCTTGGAAACTATATGGGGCAGCTCCATCTTACAGAGTCAGCAGTTAGTGTCCTGTTATTAAGGTGGAGGGTGTAGTATGGTGGATTTGTTTTGGTTATTTAGAGATAGAATGACTTGGAGCCAGGCAGACCGGGGTTCAAATCCTGTCACTACTTTGTGCCCTTGGGCAGGGTTTGTTGTTGTTATGTGCCATGGAGTCAGTTCCGACTCATAGCAACCCTGTACAGGGTTTCCGAGGCTGTAAATCTTTAAGGGAGCAGAAAGCCTCATCTTTCTCCCGCGGAACAGCTGGTAGTTTCCAATCTTAAGGTTACATGACCTCAAATCTATTTGCTCATGTATAAAATGGGTTTTAGTAGAGTCGTTTCCTCAATCTTGTTCTAAAGATTAAGAAATGCCCCACGGCATCTGAGATGCAGCATGTTTAATAAATGCCTCCTACAGAAATAACTATAGATCTTGCTGTTGAATTCTGCCTTTTGGTTTGAATCAATAAGGAGGAGTAATCATTAGATTACTTTGGTCCCTGAGGCTTGGTCTATGTAGAAGCCCTGCAACGCTCTGCCAACTGTCAGCAGCATCCTGTGAAGCCACCAGAGCCTTCCTTAGCACCTGAGCTCTACCACCTACTTGAGTTTGGTTGTTGTTGTTGTTGTTAAGTGCCATCGAGTCGGTTCCGACGCACAGCTACCCTGGATAGGGTTTCCGAGGAGCGGCTAGTGAGTTTGAACCGCCAACTTCGCAGTTCAAACGGCTTTGCAGTCTGGCGCATTAACCCACAGCGCCACAACAGGGTAGTCGCCTCCTCTTTTTATCTTTTGAACCAATTCTTTTCTTTTCTGTTTTCCATGGTCAGTTCTCTTCTTTTTCCTTATTTTCAAAATGTTCTCCTAGGTGTATAAAGTTAGAGCTTCCATTACTGAAAACCACCTAAGAAACCTACAAAGAAAAACTTAGTGTTGTTGTTGTTAAGTGCCGTCGAGTGGATTCTGACCCATAGCGACCCTTTACAGGGTTTCCAAGGAGCAGCTGGTGAGCTTGAACCACCGGAAAATGATAAAATAACACGAGTACTAATTGTGAAGTGAAGAACATCTGTGGATTAAGTTGATTTTTGTTGTTGTTCCTTTTAAACATTATAATCTTTAGGAAGCTAAAGCTGTCGTTGAAGAAACAAGAGCCCTACGACGTCGGATTCACCTCGCTGAAGCTGCACAGAGGCAGGCTCACGGAATGGAAATGGACTATGAAGAAGTAATCCGCCTGTTAGAGGCCGAGATTATTGAGCTAAAGGCTCAGCTTGCTGATTATTCTGACCAAAGTAAAGTAAGCAAAGCAGTTCTCTCTTCTAGTTACCATGGTTTCCTTTCCGTTGTCATGTATCCTGTTTTCATTTTCTTTTCATCTGCACTTCTAAACTAGGTCAGTGTTTGTCTTCTATTATTCAGTGATGGCATGATGTGCTGTGAGGGAGGTAACATAAAGGTTGCTAGCCTTCCTTTATCCAGACAGTTTTGGGAATGGAAAAGCATGTATCCCATTTTATTTGGGTCATTGGTCAACAGTGTACAACTCAGGCATTAAATCCTAGAAGTATTTTACATTTAATTGATTACATCAGCTTTCTCTTTTGTGTCTAAATTTGCTACTTTGTCTTAGGAGAGTAGGCAAATCTAGAGATGGGTTTTGCTCTTGGTTACAGCACTTAAGGAAGTGTGAAAATGAAATCATTTTTGCCCCATGCTCCAGATAATTAATTCGTGGGAGAAACTGAGTTTGAATTTAAGGTTTGTTGTTGTTTTTATTTTACTCTTTTCCAATTTCATTAGAAAGATCCTAAATGCTTTTTAGAAGGCCATGTGAACCAATGTTTTTTTTTTTTTCATATAAAACTGTAATAGGTATCTATACATTGTTCTTCACTGGTGTAAGGGAGAATACTGAATCAGTTAAGGTAGATGTTTTATTTTTGTGGAGTTTCTTTACTTAAAACCCTTTTTGACTCTTCCTGTCATATTTCCAAAGAGCATAAAACAATTTGTTTTTATTTCTGATTATTTGATTTAAATACTTTAAATTTACTAAGGAAAAATGAAACATCTTAGAAAAACAAAATATAAGAGAAAATCTAAACTTTTCTTTGGTTAGCTTTCAAGAGACACTAAAGCATTTTTGTTTCAAAAAGTTTAAATCTGTCCATTTAAACCAGTTCTGAAAGAAGGCTGAACTTTCTATCATTTTGATAACACCACAGGAAAAGGAGAAGACATATTGAGAAAGCAGCAGGAATTGAGAATACTACATATATTTATTGTTTTTGGAAACAATGATACCATATGATTATGGCACATGAGTAATTTTAACCTGTTTCAGAGAATAATTTAGATATTAAAGTACTTTCTAAATAATAGACTTACTTTTGAAGGGGAATCAACATTTTAAGAATAGTTTCTTTTTAAAATAATATAACTTTCAAGACGGTCACCTGACTTTTTAAAAAAATTCAGATTATTTGGAGCTCTTTCTCCTTGTTCCTAGCTGTGAAACAGTTTAACCCTAAATTGTCTAGCAATAAAATGAATCCACTTCGTCTCTTTTTAGCATAATGGGAATTTCATGTCATTCTCATCAGCGTCCTAAGCGATGACATTAACTATCTATAGAAATAATCTTCCCCTCCCCTCTGCAGATAAAATATGTTACATGTTGTTCTCAAGATTCAACGAGAAAAGACACACAAAGCATCTAAGATGTCATGTGTTTAATAAATATCTGTGGACATTACAGCCTACGGAAATAGCTATAGATTTTGCTGTTGTCATCTCAACATTTTCTAAAACATTACCTATTTTAAAAAAGACAGAGAGAGAGAAAGGAATTTTTTTTTAGTAGTTTAAGATAGCTTAAAGTGAGATAATGACCAAGAGGTGACAAGATCTTATTTTTAAGATGCCTTTCGTTTTCATCCAATGTTTTCATTTTGTAGTTTAAATGTGTTCCTTATATTGGCTGCCTTTAACTAATTTACCTTTTTTAAATCCAGTTTCATCTTGTAAAATAAAACACTGTCAGTATCTTTGAAGACCCACAGTGTCCCTTCCCAGTTGTACCCCTCTCCTTTACATGGAGTACAGTGGCTTTGTAGGATAAACACTGGACTAAGAACCACTCAAGATCACCAGTTTAAGCCCACCAGCTGCTCCTTATAGGAGAAAGTTGAGGTTTTGTGCTCCCACAAAGATATACAGCCTCAGAAACCCTAAAAAGAATCATTATGACTTGGAGCCAACTCAACAGCACTTAACAACAACAAGCTTTACACTCAAGGGGCCCTGATGGTGCAGTGGTTAAAGCTCAGCAGCTAACCAAAAGCTTGGCAGTTCAAACTCACTCACTGGTCTGTGGGAGGAAGATGTGGCAATCTGCTTCCATAAGATTACCCAATGGGGAATTTCTGCTCTGTCCTATGTTGTTGTTAAGTGCTGTCGAGTTGGTTCTGACTAATAGCAACCCCGTATAGACTTTCCAAGGAGCAACTGGTGAGTTTGAACCACCAATATTGTGATTCAAACCAACCTTGTGTCCATTGCTTTTGTAAAGTCTCTATAAGTCAGAATCAATAGGACAGTAGGTGGTTTCCTTTACCCTCAGAGACAACCACTTTCCTATATTTAATATTAATCATTTTCTTGATAATATGCAAGGGGACTTCAAAAAATTTGTGGGAAAATGTTCACTATTTTTTTAGGCTCAACATTCTTTCTTGCATCTCATTCCTTCTTACTCAAAGCATTCCTTTTTTTCATGAAGTACATCCTTTGGAAATTAATTTATTAAGCATCTGTCGATAATAACCTTCTCCACTTTTGTTTATCTTAAAAACATCTTTATTGAACTCTTATTCCTAAAGTATGTTTTTGCTACATCATCTAGAATGTTAGGTTGGCACTGAATTTCTTTCTATGTTTTTATTCATTAGTTATGATGTAAGCCAGCTATCAATCTGCCATTTTTTTGCAGACAATCTATTGTTTCTTTCTGGATGATTATAAGATCTCTTTATCTTTGATGTTCAGCATTTTGACTATGATGAGTCATGGGTGAATTTATTTTTATTTATATTACCTGGGATTTGGTGGGCTTCCTAAATCTGAGGAGCAGTGTCTTTTGCCATTTCTGGAGAACCCTAAGCTATTATCCTGAGCTCTGGTGTGGCACTGTGGGTTAATGCGCCAGACTGCAAAGCCGTTTGAACTGCAAGGTCGGTGGTTCAAGCTCACCAGTCACTCCTCAGAAACCCTATACAGGGTCGCTATGGGTCAGAACCGACTCAACAGCACTTAGCAACAACAACAGTTGTTCTTTCAATCCTTCTAGACACTGTTTGTAATTCAGATTAGATGTATGCTAGGTCTTCTTCTTGCTGTTTGTTTATCTCTTACTCTTCCTTTCCATATTTTCAGTTTCTGTCTTTGTACTCCTTTATTAGAAGTTTCTTTACCTCTGTCTTCCATTTCACCTATGCTCTTTTCAACTCTATCTAATATGATGTTAAATCCATAAATGGACTTTCTACTTTGTGATCATATTTTTAGTTTTTAAGAAATTGATACCTCAAGTCTATTTTGATAGTTATTTGTCCCTTTGTTATGCTTTCATTTCTCTCATTTCTTAAAAATATTAAACTTACTTACTTAAAATTCTTGATTTAGCCCTTCCAGTGTGTGCTGTTTTAATAGATATGCTCCTATGAATTGTTGGCTTCAGCTGACCTTCTTTCAGTGTAGTTTATTTCCTCAGATGTTTAGTGGAGTGTGTGTTTGTTTGTTTGTTTTTGTTCTGAGTTCGAATTCTTTGGTACTTTAAATATGGGAAATCTTTGAGACCTAAGTTTATAGTATATTTCTTCAGCGAAGTTTTGTGTTTGCTTCTATCAGCCAGGGACCAATTTAAACTGTGTTGATTTTGTGGCCACACAGGTTAATGTAAGTTCTGGTCCTAGACCTGCATGAGAGGGGGCTTGTGTTTAGAAATTATTCAGGTGAAACTTTTTTTTTTAACCCATTGTACCAAGCCAAAATCAAATACATACCTCTCTTAGGTTGATTCCTTCCTAATTTACCCATTAAATGTTCACTGGTTGCCATTTGTACCTGGTGAAACCCAAAGCTGTAGGTCACTAGGGATCAGCAGATACAATCAGAACAAGCAGATACAATTAGGCTGCAGGGCTCTCTTAACTCAGTGGTTCGCCCTGCTGGTGCCTGTCTTCATGGATTCCCTTACTTCCTGGCCATCTCAACTTTCCATTGACTTATATTACCTTAAATATATGTGTATATGTAACTTACAGTTGGAGTCTCAGTGTGGATCTGTAAGACAAGCACTGGACTGCTAATCGCAGGTTCGGTGGTTCAAACCCACCAGTCGCTCTTTGGAAACCCTATACAGAGTCACTGTAAGTCAAAACTGACTTCACAGCACTTAACAACAGCAATTTACAGTTGTGCTGTAGTGATGGGCGTTTCTGTCAGCATATGGTTTATCATGTTTGCAAAATAATGACAATAACCTGTGCATTATTTAAAATACGCTTTACTGTAAGAATAAATAAAATAATATGTAGCTTATAAAACTTGAAAAACACCTGTGCATTTTGAGCATTTAAATAATTGAGTGCCTCCCTCCCCCAAAATCAGAAGATAGAGAGCAAATGAACGATCTGGTAATACTGAATATTAGTTAATAAACACTGAAAACAGGAGTTACTGTTGTAAAATTGAAGACATGTGTAAGATGCTTGTTTTGATGTCTCTGTCCAGGAAAGTGTTCAGGATTTAAGGAAAAGAATCACAGTGCTTGACTGCCAATTGCGAAAATCAGAAATGGCTTGTAAAACTTTGGAAGCATCCACTGAAAAACTTCTTCATTTTGTAGAGGTAAAGTTTCCTGTTACCATTATGCTATGTTCAAGAAACATATAGGCATGTAGCATACGAATAAATCCCACATTCTGTGGTAACGAACAAAACATTTTCTCCACTCAAAACAACAATGCTGACCTATTATCAGATTTTAAATTGTATAGATGTTTATAGGTCAGCTAATGTTGAATAGATCATTAAAAGAAATCATTGGTACAGGATAACATGAACCCAAATATTCTCTATATTTTTGGGGTTTTATAAAAAATTGTTTTATTTTCGTTGTTGTTGTTGTTGAGAATATGCACAGCAAATGTACAGTAATGCAGCAATATCAATATGCACAATTCATTGGTATTGATTATATTCTTCAAACTATGCAACCATTCTCACCCTCCTTTTCTGAGTCTTTACTCCCTCATTAACATTAATTCATTAACCCCGTAGTTCCCTATCTAATCTTTTGAGTTGCTGTTGTCAGTTTGATTTCCACACAGATAGATCTTAAAAGAACACAAGGCTGACTTTCTCGTTAACTTAAGCTGACCTATTGTCTGGTTTCAATGAATATTTTCCTAAAACTCTTGAAACTATGTAAATACTACTTGATAAACATTTACCCTCTAAAGAAATATTTCCATATGTATAATATGCCTTAGTAGAGTAAAATGTTAAATGTAATTGGTTTTTCTCCCCTCACATATAGAGACACTTGTTAATCAAATGGGACATGAGGCAATATAAATATTAATTAAGCAAGAAAAGACATATTTTTACACCATCAAACTTACATATCTTCTGCACTGTCTTGTTTGTCACTAGGCTATTCAAGAAGTATTTTCTGATAATTCGGCTTACTTACCAAATTTAAGGTAAGAATAATATCTAAGTGCTTTCTGCAGAGTATAACCACTGATTAAATTTTTCATCTGATCATTATGATGAAAATACCAAAATATCTTAACCTAGCCTTAAGATGCTGTATATCCTACTTGATGCTATTGTTTAATATCTTTTAGAAATAGGTACAAGAACACATTGGTTTTGGTCCCACCTCTGCAAAGGAATTTCAGGACTACTTAGCCAGTCAATAGCCAGGCTATTGAGTCCCTGGGTGGTGAAAATGTTTCACTTGTTTAGCTGGAGTTTGAAAGGTTGGCGGTTTGAGTCCACCCAAAGGCCATTCAGATGAAAGTCCAGGTGATTTGTTTCGAAAAAAATCAACCATTGCAAACCCAATGGAGTCCATTTCTATTCTGGCACACTTGGGGACACCAATAATTGGAATCATCAGGAGAGTAACTGGTTTATAACCAGTTTGAGTGGCATGACCAGTTAAGCATGTAATTAATAGTCAAAAGGTTGGCAGTTCAAACAACACTGAGAGACGCCCAGGAAGGCAGGCCTGATGACCTGCATCCTGAAGAGCTGGAAAGCCCCATGGAGCAGTTTACTCAGCGCACATGAAGTCACCCTAAGTCAGAAGGCAACTAGAAACAATTCAGTCCTTTCTCATTAAAATAGAGGCAGAAATCATCTATCATGTCTTCCTCCAGCATTCGGTAAAGATGAGATTAATGTGAAGTTCTTGAAGCGTGTTGTAATTGAGTTCTGTTGAATGGATTCCATCTCATAACAATCCTATTATGTGCAAAGTAAGCATAAACCAAACCAAACCCAAATCCATTGCTGTCCAGTCAATTCTGACTCATTATGGCCTATAGGACAGAGTGGAACTGCCCATAGGGGTTCCAAGATGTTACAGAAGCAGATGGCTCCGTCTTTCTCCTGGGAGGTCTGGTGGCTTCAAACCACTGATATTTTGGATAGCAGCAGCTGAGAGCTTAACTATTGTTCCAACAAGCCTCCTTAAAGTAAGCGTGTGGCTGCAGTTAGGTGCCATGGAGTCAGTTCTGGCTCATAGCTACCTTCTCTAGGGTTTCCAAGGAGCAGCTGGTGGGCTTGAACCACTGACCATTTAGTTAGCAGTCTACTGCTTATCCTACACTGCCACACCAGGACTCCGAAACGACGTCAACTATGTATGAATACAGTTACAAGTCCCGTGTTGACTGCTAAAGATTGTTAAAGCAAACAGAATTTTGGGAGACATATTTATATAATTGGTTGCTTTCATTTTTATCAGCAAATATAAATAAATATTTATTCACATTATGCTTCAAATTTAAATGTCTTACTTGTTATGTGCCGTCGAGTCAGTTCCAACTCATAGCAACCCTGTAAAGGTTTTCTGAGGAGCGGCTGGTGAGCTTGAACCACCAACTTTACAGTTCACAATGGACACTGTAGTCCAACACATTAACCCACAGCACCTCATCAGCTCCTTACTAGGAGCTACAAATACACTAATAAGATTTTTTACTTCAGATCACCTGTTAATGGTCATCACCTGTTAATGATAGATGATGAAACACAAAGATTCTGTGTGCACATGTTCAAAGTGGTTTTTTTGTCATCTTATAAGTAGCTGCCGCTAGTTCTTGATACATTTTCTACATCTATTACATTTTCAGAATCATAACAAAACTGTGCCCTTTGCTCTAAAAACAGCAGTTCAATAAAAGAAGGTGATTCACTGCATTTTTCTTTTTTAAGTTTTTTATTGTGGATTGAGTGAAAGTTTACAGGGCAGATCATCAGTTTTACTTTCAACAAATCATATACCTTGTTTCATTATAATGATTATAATCCCCTCCATGTACCATCAGTTAACAGCATTTCTCTCTAGTCACTTTAGCTTTAAAAAATAAATAAATAAATAAACCACTCAGGCATATGTAATAATTTACACCTACAAAGGGCGCATTCTGCAAGTCTCCCTCCTGGCCACCAGTTCTTAGTCCTTCAGTTCCCATGAATCTAGAGTCCTCAGCCGCTCCCTCTCTCCATATCCCCACCTCTGCCTCCATCTCTGATGGCGCTGCTTCTCTACATAAGGTCCTGCATTCCGCTTGTGTGCTTTTCTCTTGATGGTCCTAGGGTCTTCTGTTTCTGTACTGTAAGATAACCACTCCCATTTTTGTTACAAAACTTCTACCTTTACAATTGTGACAGTTGCAATTAGTCATGATAACAATTATTCACTATTGAATCATATGAATCTTATCCCCATCTCCTTTCACCAGACCCATCTAGACAAGATTAAAACTATTCAGTGGGGACCCTTTCTTCCCCTACCCCATACTCTTAAACTAAACTCCCTTATAAGCCACTCACTTTGTGCCTTTATCACCCCCTCATTTTATGTAGCTAGTGTCTAAGTTGCCCGTCCCTATCTACCCTATGTATAGAGGAGCTAGCACTGATACTTGGTGTGAAGACTCCTTCCCTCTCTGTTGGTATTTAGAGTTACTGCCTCCATGAATATAAGTCAGGTTCATAAAATTGTAGCAATTTACCCTTGTTTCCTTTATCAAAAAAATTTTTTTTTGTAATCTTTCTCTAGTCGAGTTCTGATTATCAAGCTATCGAGGCAAGTTTGGGTGTTCTTGTGCATCTTTCATCATTTCTTATCTCTCAGCTCTAGCCCCTCTGTGGCTATGTCCTTGTCAAGTGTTCCCAGGTTTCACCACACTTTGGACCAACCAGCCCTTCCTCTTCTCTCTCTCATCTCCAGGTCAACGGGAGTCAATAGACTGTGGTTGAACTCAGCCCATTTCTTCATTGCTGCCTTTCCCTTCTACTCACCCTAGTCCAGTGTAGTTGCCAGCAAGCTTACATGCCTGTTTGTGTGTTACCTTTGAGTTTCAGTCTTAGTGGGGAGTTTGTCCTGAAGGAACTTGATTGCTTGCCTTGATATCTTCCTGATGAGTAGCTTGCTTATTCTTGTAGTAGCCAGTCATGCTGACATTTTTGTTTTGGGTTTTTCCTGATGTTTTTTCTTTGAAGATGTATCTTCTGTCACTATAGCTGTTCCAGGCAGGTCTGCTTGTCCTTTCTAGTAGGAATGTCCCACCTCAGAATGTTCTGGATGGGTCTCAGGATTCCACCTAAGGTTCTATACTCTGTAAAGGCTTTGTAAGAGGCCTATTTCACTAGGCAAGTTCTAGAACCCCTTTTAGGTATTCCAATTAGTTATAGGCTGAAGACGGGCTTACAAGTTTTCTCTAACCATGTTTCCCAACATTCCTTTCTATCCCGCTCAAGTGTCTATTTTACAATAGTAGGCAAGGGAAATCAATATTCATAAGACAGTCAAGCATTTTAGTATTATTTTCCCTCTTCAAACTATGCCTAGTACCTTGTATCACAAAGCTCTGTTGTTCCAAGGTTGAGCATGCATTACTGTTTACCTCTATCCCACTTAGCCCATGCAAACCTGTCTCAGTGTTCCCCTATCTATCTTGTTCTTCTGCCTCCTCCCCCCTTCTTGTATTGCCCTCCCCAACACCCAAACGAAACCCCCCACCCCAACCCCACTGTTGTGGTTACCTTATATTCCATTAATTCTTCCCTCCATTTAAGATAGTCTATTTTATCCTGTAATCTACCTGACCTTCTTACCACCTGGATCTCTGTTCCTCTGTATTTACCTTCTTTCAAATTGTAATTGTTTTGATCATAGGCTGACCTCCCAGATCCTCTGTTCTTACAATTTTATTCTGTTCTTGACTCTTCCATTTGTCGATTGAGTTCCAGGGGATGCTGCCATGTACGTCATTCTGTAGTTGTTGTCTGTTCTTGTTGGTTCTCAGTCCACAGAACTTCCTTTAGTATATTTTTCATAGCAGGGATGGTTTTGGCAAAATCCTTTAGTTTCTGTTTATCCTGAATGTTTTGACTACACCATCGTATTTGATTGACTGCTTTGCTGGGTAGAGGATTCTTGGTTGGCAGTTTTTTTTCTTTCAGGGTTTTATATATGTCTCCCCATTGCCTCCTTGCCTACATGGTTTCTGCGGAGAGATCCAAACTTAATCTGACTTGCTTGCCTTTTGTATGTAATGCTTCTGTTTTCCCTAGCTGCTTTCAGGATTGTCTCCTTATCTTTGATTTTGAAGCTCCTGATTATTATATGTCTCGGTGATTTTCTTTTGGGTTCTATCCTTCCTGAGGTTCATTGAGCTTCTTGAATGTGTATCTTTTCACTTTTCAGGATGTTAGAAAATTTTTCTTCCAGGAGCTCTTCAACTATCTCCTCCTGTGGACTTGTGTGATTCTTCCTGTTCTGGAATGCTAATAATTCTTAAGGTATTTCTCTTCATGTTGTCCAACATGAATCTTAGACCTTCTTTGGATTTTTTCATCCTTTTTTCTGCTTGCTCTCCTATCTTAGTGGTATTGAGAGATTTGTCCTCCAGTTCACTAGTTCTGCCTTCCATCTCTTCTGTTCTACTCCTTTGCCCTTTCATTGTATTGTCTATTTGTGATATTCTATTATTATCACTTGAACCTCTTTCTGTAGGTTTTGAATTGTTTCCAATGCTCTATCTTAATTGATTGTTCCTGTAGCACTTTCCTGACTTCTTCTTTATTTCTCAACTCCATTGTATAGTGTTTTGAAACATTTTATAATCATTTTTCTGAATTCCTTCTCAGGCATTTCCAAAGCCTGCCCATATTCCAGTATGGAGTGTAGGTAGATCTATTTCCAGCTCATTTGCCTCAGTCACTTTATCTTGTGTTTCTGGACATGTGCTGATATGGTCATCTGTTTCTGTTTTTTGGCCATATTCAGGAGTTATCTGTGGCATTAATACTTAGGTGGGTATGTATTTTGGTATTATGCTTTCTGATTGCCTCCAGGTAGATGTGATAAGGAGATGGGCTTCCCTTTTCACTCTTCTTCCTGAGAAATTTCAAGATGCCACTGTTGTTGGTCATTGTGATGCATCCTTATTATAGTGTAGATTTCCACCTAACATTTATTGAAAGATCTGTAGTTGTTCATCTTGAAGTTCACTTAATTTAATATTTTATTGCTTATAATGTTTTTTAAAATTATTATCCATTCTGTTAATGGAGTACTGTTGTGGCATTGTAGGATAAGCACTGGGCTGCTAATTGCAAGGTCAGTGGTTCAAACCCACCATCTGCTCCTCAGAAATCCCACACAGGTGGCAATGAGTTAGAACTGACTCCACGGCACTTACCCAAAAAAAGAAAATTCTGTTTATAAGGTAACTACGTGTATTCCATGATGACTCTTTTTAATAAAATGTCAAAATACTCAGCAATCAGGTGCTCCCTGTCAGGAGTGATGTCTCCTTCCTTCCCCTGATATCTTTGTGACCTTGACTAAGAATTCCAAAGTTCTGATGTTAAAAATGAAGATTAAAAACAACAGATTAAAAGTCAGAACCTATTCTTGCTTTAAACTACTTCCTGGAAAAAGGTAACTTTAAAAAGTACAATAAACAACTTTTCACTCAGTCTTAGAAAGTTCAACATGAGTACACTGTGTTTCAGTCTTTTTACTATACCGTATCTTCCTTAATAAGCTACCTAGTAGCATAATGGGTTACACATTCGGCTGCTAACTGCAAAGTCAGCTGTTCAAGTCCACCAAGTCCTCTGTGGGAAAAAGATAAGGGTTTCTGCTCCCATAAAGAGTTGCACCCAAAGATTGAGCCTCATACAGGTTCCCTATGAATCAGAATCAACTCCGCAGCACACCACTACCACCACGATCTTCGAAGATCATTGGCCATTCTGCATAGAGTAAAGGCTGTATATTTAAATGTGAAACTGATACTTTAGTTTCTTTATGAATGAATATCATTATGCTTAAGAAGATGGTTTGTAAGTAATTTTATTTCAATTAATTTGTCTTTTTACAAGTAAAAATTTTAGCATAAAACTGTTTTTGCAGTAAGATCTTGCATTCTTATATAAGAATACATTCATTTCAAGTGGCATTTACATTTAAATAAAGTGATACAAGTTATTTAGGGGCAACAATGGAAGTGTGTAAGAGATAATTTTCTTGATATGCATAAGCATATTGAATTTATATTTAATATTACTGCAAGTAATGGTAAATGTTCCATAAGTTTATGTTTAAATAGTTCATTTGAATTTTTATGAAAGGTAAATACAAGGCAATATGTTAGCAGGGAGCCCTGGTGGCATAGTGGGTTACACGTTGGGCTGTTAACTCTAGGATCAGCGGTTTTAATCCACTATCAGCCCATGGGAGAAAGATGAGGCTTTCCCACTCCCTTAGAGATCTACAGCCTTTCAAACCCCATACAGAGTCGCTATGAGTCAGAACTGACTCATCAACTGCAACAATCACGTTAGCATAATGTAAGCACTCACAAATAAGCCTATTAGATTGTTTAGGAGGTGGGTCATTCTTCTATTCCTTCTTCCGTATAAATTAAGTCTACTTAATTCTTAAAATATTTTTGTTTATTGTATAATACAGAATTGAAGACAGAGATAATGTTTTTTTTGTGAATTATTCCCTTTATGGCTATAAGAGGAGCAGCCCTTTTAGTACAAAATCTATACACAGTCACTATGACGACACTTAACAACAACAACAACAAGCTAACTGAAAGGTTTAAACTCACCAGCCACTCCTCAGGAGAAATGATCTTACAAGAATTCAAATTTAGCAAAGGTATATATTAACTGGAGTCCTGGTGTGGTGCTGTATGATAAGCACTGGACTTCAAGGTCGGTTTGAACTCCTCAGGAACCCAATACAGGGCCACCATGAGTCAGAACTGACTCTGGCACTTAACAACAGCAAATACTAATTATTGTATAATATATCCAACTTTCTTTTCCTCGTAGTGAAAGAAGAGCTGTGTTCTCTTCTCAGACATCCCTCGCACAACTGGGAAGGAATGGACGTAATATCCCTGCCACCCTGATGCTTGAATCTAAGGAACTGGTTAAATCTGTCCGTGCCATGCTTGATATGGATTGTAAGTGTTTGGCAATTTTTGCCTTTTTTTTTTTTAAACTTAACAAAACGAAAAGAGGAACATTTCAAGTATGCAGTTTCATTTAATTAAGCATATTGGTAACCTGCGAGTGTAGTGGGTTACAAGCTGGGCTGCTAACCACAATCTTAGCAGTGTGGATCTACCAGCTGCTCCATGGGAGAAAGATGAGGCTTTCTGCTCCTGTAAAAATTCACATCCTCGGAAACCCTTTACAGGGTCACTATAAGTTGGGACCGACTCCATAGCACACCACCACCACCAAAATTGATTGCTAATTAGTAGATATGTCAGTGTACTGATTGTACAGGGATAATATGTGTTTTCTTGAAAATGCTAACAGTGGCTTCCACCTGAAGATAACTGACCAAAAATATGTCTTTACCTCCCCTTCCATTCAATGGCCTTTTGAAATAGTAGGGAAAAAAGTATGAGAACAAATCCATAGCAGCACTGGAAACCTAGAAGGATGAAATTAACATGTGAGACATTTTGAACAATATACAACAGATGGAATAGGATTGAAAGTTCAACCCAGTTGAGCAAAAGATCCCGTAACAAGATGCAGACAAAGGACAATACTGTTGAAACAGTAGATAGTACATGTAGTGCCTTCGGAAAAAATTCCATGATCCCAGTCTAGGCCAACTGGGAAGAGACCTTGGGAAAGCCCACAAGGTCATTAATTAAAGGACTGCACCAATTCCCCACTCTTAGGGTTTCTGACTCAGGCATTTAGTCTCTGCTAGGGTCCTGGTGTGGCGCTGTGGGTTAATGTGCCAGACTGCAAAGCCATTTCAACTGCAAGGTTGGCGGTTCAAGTTCATCAGCTGCTCCTCTAAAACTCTATACACGGTTGCTGTGGGTTGGGATCAACTCGACCACACTTGACAACAACAACAAGGGCAAAGAGAATACCTCCTTCAAAGAACTGCATGATCTGCCTGTAGACACCCAGAGTCAGCAATGGGTCAGAAAGAAGAGAAAAGAAAAGAAAAGCTCTAAGTAACTTCCAGTATCCCAGCAAGCAAGGAGATCATTAAAGGAAGTCTCTGGTAGCATAGTGGTTACGAATCGGGCTGCGAACCTTAAGGTCAGCGGTTCGAAACTACCAGCTGCTCCACGGGAGAAAGATGAGGCTTTCTACTCCCGTAAAGATTTACACCCTTGGAAACCCTATACAGGGTCGCTATGGGTCGGAACCGACTCGATGGCACACAACAACAACAATAACAACATGTGATTGAATACTTCCATCTTACACTCCTCCTATCTCTCAGGCATCTTTGCCTCTTCATGGATTTCAACTCCCTGGCATTCTGGTGTGGTGGCACTGTGGGTTAATGCGCTGGACTGCAAAGTTAATTTGAACTACAAGATCAGTGGTTCAAGCTCACCAGCTGCTCCTTGGACACCCTACACAGTATCGCTATGGTTCGGAACCAACACGATGGCACATAACAATAAACAAGAACCTTACCTACTCTTTGCGTGGTACTATAGGATCAGCACTAGACTGCGAACCATAAGATTGGCAGTTCAAACCAACCACCTGTTCCTTGGAACCCCTATACAGGGTCGCTATAAGTTGAAATCAACTTGATGACACTCAAAACAACAACCATTTTTTAGGAGTTCTGGTGAGGTGCTGAAGGATAAACGTTGGACTGTTAACTGCAAGGTCCATGGTTCAAACCCACCAGTCGATCCTTCAGAACCCTATACAGAGTCGCTATGAGTCAGTACCTAGTCAATGACACCTGACAAAAACAACAGTATAGCAACCCTATGCACAACAGAACGAAACACTGCCCAGTTCTGTGACAACCTCACAATATTGCTATGCCTGAGCCCATCACTGTCACCACTGTGCTAATCCATCTCCTTGAGGGTCTTCCTCTTTTTCTCTCCACTTTACCAAACATGGTATTGGTCCCTGCTGATAATGTGTCTGAAGTACGAGAGACTAAGTCTGGCCACCCTGGCTTCTTCCAACATAGATTGGTTTGTTCTTTTGGCTTTCTATGGTATTTCAATATTCTCCTTCAACACCATAACTCACAGCATCAATTCTTTATGGTCTGTCTTATTCACTGTCCAACTTTCACATGCATATGGGTTTATTGAAAATACCATGGCTTGGGTCAGGCACACCTTAGTCCTCAAACTGACATCTTTGCTCTTCAACATTTTAAAGAGGTTTTGTGCAGCACATTTGCTTAATGCAATGTGACATTTTAATTTCTTGACTGCTACTTCAGTCTTGTCTCCATTTATATGGATGTTGTTCATAGGTCCAGTGGTGAGGATTTTTGTGTTACATAAAGGTGCAACCCATACTAAAGGCTGTGATCTTTGATCTTCCTCAGTAAGTATTTTAAGTCCTCTTCACTTTCAGCAGCAAGGTTGTATCATCTGTATATTGAAGGTTGTTAATGAGTCTTCCTCCAATTCTGATGCCACATTTCTTCATATAATAATAGTTTCTTGGATTATTTGCTCAGCATACAGATTGAATAAGTATGGTTAAAGAATACAACCCTGGCGCACACCTCTCCTAATTTTAAACCATTCAGTGTTCCCATGTTCTTTTTGAGCAACTGCCTCTTGGTCTATGTACAGGTTTCTCATGAGCACAATTAAGTGTTCCAGAAAACTCATTCTCCACAATGTTGTCCATAGCTTATCATGATCCACATAATCGAAAGCCTTTGCGTAGTCAGTAAAGCACAGGTAAACATCTTTCTGGTATTCTCTACTTTTAGCCAAGATCCATCAGATGTCAGTATTGATATCCCTCATTCCACATCCTCCTCTGAATCCAGCTTTAACCTCTGGAAGTTCTCTTTCAATGTATGGTTGCAGCCATTTTGTATTATCTTTATCAAAATTTTGCTTGCATGTGATACTAATGATATTGTCAGATGATTTCCGCATTCCATTGGGTCACCTCTCTTACAAATGGGCACAAATATGGATCTCTTCCAATCAGTTGGCCAGGTTGTTGTCTTCCAAATTTATTGACATAGATGAGTGAATGCCTCCAGTGCTGTATCAGTTTGTTGCATGGTTTAAATTTGTATTCCATCAATTCCCAGAGCCTTGTTCTTTGCCATTCCTTCAGTGCACCTTGAACTTCTTCTTCCAGTATCATTGGCTTTTGACCATATAGTACCTCTTGAAATGGTTGGGCATTGACCTTTTTTTTTATATATAGTGACTCTGCGTATTCCTTCCTTCTTCTTTTGATGCTTTCTGCATCATTCAGTATTTTGCCCGTAAAATTCTTCAGTAATGCAAGTTGAGGATTGATTTCTTTCTTCAGTTCCCTGAGCTTGAGAAATGCTGAGCGTATTCTTCCCTTTTGGTTTTCTAACTCCAAATCTTTGTATATTTCGTTATAACATTTGACCTTGTTTTCTAGTCTGTCAGTGTGTCGTATTGTGGTGGCTTGCATGTTGCTGTGATTCTAAAAGCTATGCCACAGGTATTTTAAATACTAGCAGGGTCATTCATGGTAGACAGGTTTCAGCTGAACTACCAGACGAAGACAGACTAAGAAGAGTTGGACTACTTCTGAGTATTTAGTTACTGAAAACCTTATAAACAGCAGTGTAACACTGTCAGCATCAGAAAACAAGAATACTAGTAAGGAGAAATAAAAACAAAATGTCTCCAATTAAATAACCTGCAAATCAGTAGGTAAGTGTTTGAGCAGAGCTATAGTAGGAGACGTTACGTAGTGTCAGACTCTTGCACCTACACTGAAAATCACCATGTGGGTAACAAGTACGAATGTAGACTGATACAGGTGCATCATGGTGTCAGTTCAAACAGAATGAGCATATTACCATCAGTCACATGAGTTTTGGAAATGATGAACTCTTGGCAGAGTTCTGAACAAAAGAAAATACAATCTTCTGAACAAAGGAAATTACTGTGTACATGAACATACACAGTAGTTACAAACCTAGGATATTCAATGTATATGCAACTACTAAATATATGTTAAAATATTTGGGGGCTTATCTGTAAAATTGAGCTAAGTTCCAGGCTCAAATAAGTAAAGAAACAAGCCTTTTGGTTGTTGTTGTTGTTAAGTGCCATCAAGTCAGTTCCGACTCATAGTGACCCTGTACAAGGTTTCCAAGGCTGTAGATCTTTATGGGAGCAGAAAGCCTCATCTTTCTCCTGCGGAACAGCTGGTAGTTTCAAACTGCTGTCCTTGCGGTTCGCAGCCCAATTCATAACGACTACGCTACCAGAGCTCCTTAGCTGGGACTAATTGGAGCACCTACCTCTATGGGTTCCCTCCAACATGACAGTCTCTGGGTAGTTAAATAACTTGCCTGGTAACTCAAAGTTCTAGGACCTGTGTTCAGTGAGTTCGATAAAAATATAGAACAAAACAATCACAGGCCTTTGTATACATATCACCTTTTATGATCTACTTTGAGAAGACATCCAGGCAGTAACATCATATTCTGTTTCTCAGTGCAGATGCAAGGGCTAAGAAGGTAGGTTCCACCGCTGGGATGGGATGTACCACTCACGTCAGAGAAGAGCAAGTGAGTCGGGAATTATTATCATTGCCAGTTTTAGAGACTTAATCTGCCACCTTGGCAGTGGTTTGGTGGTTGTGTGCCACCGAATCGGTTCCAACTCATAGTGACTCTGGATGGGGTTTAGGAGTTTCCTTGGCTTTAAACCTTTATGGGAGTAGAAAGCCTCATCTTTCTGTTTTGAAGCAGCTGGTAGACTGGAACTGCTGACCTTGCAGTTAGCAGTCTAGTTCATCACCCACTATGCTACTAGGGCTCCAGTTTTCTGCCTTTGTTGTTGTTATTAAATGCCATTGAGTCAGTTCCAACTCAGTGACCCTGTATAGGGTTTCCTATAGGAGCAGCTGGTGGTTTTGAACCACTAATCTTGTGGTTAGCAGTCTAGTACTTATCCTTCAGCACCACACAGGACTCCAGTAC